TCTTCTAGTTACTAGAAACATTTCATAGGTCGAGTCAGAACAAAATGTATACTTTGGACTTTGTTTCAAAACAATGATGTTTCTATGATAATTCAAATCGATGATTCCGACACCCGGAAAATAATAGAAACTTGGAAATAGGAATCTGGAGACCGGATTTTTCTAGTTCCGATCGGAAATGACTATAATCGGATAAAGGCAGTCGTCAAATTCCTGTTTCCAAGTTTGTTCTATTTTCTACATTTTTCCGTCATGTATTTCTTAACCTAAGAAGCTAATATCTCGATACGGATACGTTTGTCGTAGCCTAAACTTTAGACTGTTTCTAGAGACTGTAAGACGCATCTCTAGACAAAATTTCAGCTTGAAATTCAATCATTTAGGTTACTAGCGATTCTATTCAAAATTAAGTAAAACGTTCATAATTTAACAAGCGAAGATCGGAAAATCCAAACAGTGATCTTTAGTAGTAAGTTTAAAATTAGGCAATACTTTTTTTCTTTCTCAATTTTTAAGATAATAAACATGAAAGGAGTTCGAGTGTATCTAATTCTTGATCTTGACAAGCTAAAAATAATTAAATGCTCGATGCATGACGAAAGAACTGATAAGTATTTGCAAAGATTTTCTACTGATAATCTTTTGTTTATGCTTTACAAACATATATCAATCCAATCATAATTGAAACGCAATTCATTAAAATTATATGAACAATATATAGAATGAGTCCGTAATGGAATAAATCTTTAATTTATTATTATTATTATTATTATTTTTCTTTTCTCCGAGTAACGTCGAAAATTAATTAGATCTAAAAAAAACTTCGGCTCACACCGGAAAAAATTATTTAATGTAATAGCCGAGTATTTAAATTTTCAAGTAATTATGATGCTCTATGTGAATTTTATATCCTTTTGTATTTTAATTATTCTCATGTTTTTGCCTTTCCTCATACAGAATCTACGTATGATATATCTATAGTCTAATTATAACTAGAAGAAAAATTGCGTTTCTTTTTCTAGAAAACAATTTAATGTCAAATCTAACCTATTATGTTTAATGACATAGAATACTTGTCAAATAATCGAAGTTTTTTCTTTCTATCGAAAAATATAATGTAGTAAATGAGACTCGATAAAATTATGAAAGAATTATATTAATAATAAATAACTAAATATCCTTGAATGAAACAAAAACCTATAACTCTACTAGAAGAGACTTTTCTTTTTCTAAATTATTTTTAGACATTAAAAAAAATAAAAAGAAATAATTGATATTTTTCTTTTTTTGTTTCATATTTTATACATACCATATGCACCTTCACCAATAAATTTTAAATCAGTATAACGTGGCCCAACTTCAAAACGTTGTTGTCGAACTATTTCAAAAGGTGGTGCTGAAGATAATGTTTGATTCATTGGTTTATGTACATCTTTACCATTTTCTCCTTCGTCCATTTTTATTTCATTCATATTACTAATATAAATTATGTAACATTCAGAAGTAAATATGCAATTTATAAGTTTATAT